ACTCCTGATATGCCATATTTTCTGGGATAAAAAAAAATGTCTTGACTTTGTTGCCTCAGTAAAATTATATAGCAGTTGATTAAATCTGTTGGCATCTGCCATAATTAACTCCAGAAACTTTCACCTTCAAAGATTGTTTTGTATATGTCAGTTATGATTGAATTTAGAGAAGTTGAGTATATTTCGCTGACAAAACCAGCAGATCGACTTCTCCTTCAGCCATTAAATGGTCCAGGGAAGGGAGATAACCACAAATCATAGATAACACACTGACATAGAGAACTCTGTATTGATTTGTGAGCCCTTTGGAAAATTTCAGAATATTGTCATGTCTTACAGCCTCAGAGGGCATTACCCTTCAGTAAAGGATGGGTGATTAGGAGGATCAGGTATCCAGGGGAGATCACTGCTGGCTTAGTGGGATCATTCTCCCTTCTTATCTCCCCTATAGAGATAGATTGTTGCAAAATGATCATCTATGTGTAGATGAAAGATGAGTTTTAATTACTATTTAAGCATATGGAAGATGATAGGGATTTATTTGATAGCTTAATTCTTCCTGATAAGAGATTTATCTTGTAGCTTTGACAAGGCTTTTGGTCCATCAGTGTTATGAGGTCATGATTCTAAAGGCCATTTAATCATAAATATCATTCAGCTACAATTTCATGTGCATCTTTTTCTTCTTTGCTTGGTACTCTGTTGATAATAAATAACTCATTGCTGTAATTCTCTTCACTGTTCTTTTACAAAATGTCTACTACTCAGCATTTCTTGTGTAAATTTAACATGTGTTTAATGAACACCATGCATTTAAAGAGTTTAAAAATTACTCATCAAAAGCTCAAGTATCAAAATGATGATGTGGAAGCAAGACTTTAACAGCTTTTTTATGAAGTAGAGCTGTACATCCAGCAAGCAGACTCCACATATAACCTAGGAACAAACCACAGTTATCTTCATCCTTGTTTCTGCATGATTATAGCCATCTTGCAGATGTATCTTTTATTTATCATTTTTAGTTTGGCAGGCATTTTTTATGAATGGTTGAGGAAGTTATTTATCAAATCATCTTTGTCTCTGCACCTGGGCTATAGATACTTCATAGGCTTATAATCCTATCCTATTCATATTTCTATATAAAATTTCCAGATGTAACCCGTCTATGTGTTCTGTATTAATATTTATTGATATAAAGATCTAATTTTGACAAAGAGTTTCAGTAGACAAATATTTAAGTCAAGAATCTCATTTCTTCATTGCATGTGTACTTTTATTTAAGGCCTTCTGCTTCAGAGGAAGAGGCAGTAGTCACCCTAGAATTGGGAATGCCTGGACTGGCAATGATCTCCAAGATCTATGAAGTACTAGCTGCTCTAGTTTACAAACACATGATTGACAAAGCAGGTTTCCTAAGCATTTGTCAGAGAAACACAACTGCTAACTTCCAAAACTTTTCTCAATTAACAGAAGAGTTCAGTTGTCATTATGAGGAGCTACACAAGGCCCTGCATGATGTGTGTATTCTTGTGTAGAACAGATCAGGCACAAGACAGGTGCACATGAGGGGTGATCTCAGAAGAAATAATCAAGATAGCTTTGTAAAAGCCAACATTTCTATAAAACCAAATGGCAAGATATGAAGCTGAATTGTTGATAAATTTCGAATATTATACATCATATGCTTTTTTTGAAAATTTAAGTTCTAAAGATTATTTCTTAGAATTTGGAGTTGGAAGACAAGATTATAAGGTTAAGTTTGATGACATATTATAATATAGACACCAAATAAGAGATTTTATATGCTCCCTGTAAAAATGAGATAAAAGATGTGTGCTTTTCTATAAATTGATTTGCTAAATAAAAAGGACTTATAATTTTCGACATAAAATTCAAAGATACAAGGATGATCTCATTTGGTTTGATGATTATGGGTGGGTGGGTGGGGGGGGGGGGGGGGTAAGGGGGATGCTCCTGGCACAAACCCTCTAAAACAAAAATTATTTTGCATTATAGTTTTCACTGTCATATGAGTATATTGATGTAATAAAGGTAAAATTACAGTAATTTATGTGTCAAAATAAGGCTAGTTGCTACTTTTCAAAACCCTACTAGGGATTTGCCCTCTAGGTTCCCCACTGGACATTGCATTTGACCCACTTGGGATGTAGGCTTTACCAAAACCCCTGGCCATCTAATAGTGTCTCCTCTTATGCAAAATTTTCAAGTTCTTCCCTGCATGTTCTTACCCTGAAATGCATATTAGGCACTAATTGACTTAAAAATAATTCTGAGGAAATGGTTAACTGTGTCCTGTACTGTTTTGGAATTCTGTGAAATGCGACAGCTGCAGAATGGATCTATCAGTATTAGCTCTTTAATTATCATGTCAATAAATAGGCTATGAAATTTATATAAACATGTATATGAAACTGTGACAAATGTTTAATTTCATACAAATATCAGAATTACTTTCTGAACATTTATGGTAATCATACTAATGGATCGTATTTACACAAACTCGATTTTATTGGAATTAAGAGTATGTTTTGGCATTACATGTTTACTAGCTGATACCCTAGGGAAACAGAAGGTCAATGACAATGTCTGAATAATTACAATTATAAGTGATGTAAAAGCATACTATTTCAATTTTTACAATTTTGAGCTAAGACATTTGAGAACCACTTGAAAGATTGAATCACTTTTTTTAAAGAGGAATAACTGTCAATTAAATAAAAGAATCGAATGTTTCAAAAATTGTTTTCAACACAGTTCTACATCCATTAGGTTGACAAAACATCACTGTGTTAGCTGTTTATGGAGAAAGTGCATTTTTAGCAGCTAGGGAATAAAAGTGCCATCTATATATTCACAAAACAAATAGACAATTTAATCTGTAAATTGCATTTAAGAAAAAAGAGTGAGTCCATGATGGCAGTTTGTTTAGCCAAATGATAAGATAAGAACACATATAGTGGCCAGTTTTTCCTAATGATGACTGGTAACTACTTAAATTGTATTTTTCTGGGTTATGACTCCTCTGCAGCTGTTGAAGGTGGATAATAATTTACTTTTTTATACAGTAATACTCCTGTCAGGTTAAGGTTAATGAATACAAGACCAGATGTTAAAACTTTTGTTAATTGATAATAGGTGCTTTCTTACTTTATTTTCTGGCTATTGGAATTGAATGCATGCTTCTGTATTACTTTTGCAGTCATATTTTGAAGTCATATTTTAGCATCTAATGTGTGTTCTCTTAAGTTCCCCAATTTATTAGTATGTCAATGTCAACACAGTGAGAGCTAATTTATAATTTTGCTAATTAGGCAATAACCTACAGTATACTGATGCTGCACTTAATTAATGGACATATATCTTTCTTTTCTTGATTTGTACTTAGAACTGCAATACATGTGAACTACCGGTACTCTCTCCCTCTTCCCTGCATGGCCTGGGTGATAATAAGCTGTTTTGTTCTAGAGTTGCAGAGACTGAATATTAGGAGCTGTATCCTTATGTCATGGGCTTGAATCATTGATCAATTCAGATGTCCTGATATTGTATAAACCTAGGTTCTGTGTTAAAGTATATTGCTAGCTGGCATGAAAAAGATCCCTCACTACTCAATGGCCATAGTGCACCAGCAATTATTTAGTAGCATTCCAACTTAAATGAAAAATTCTTGAAAGGAATTCAGCAAAAAACCAACCAACTCTCTCTCTCTCTCTCTCTTGATTCTCTCTCTCTCTTTGAATGACAACATACAAACTCTATCCAATCTTCTTATATGCTCAGCTTCCCATCTCGCCCCTCTTTTGTACTGTTATGCCCTGTGACACCTCTCTGACTCTGCTCTTACAAATTATTGTTTGAGGGACCAGGAGAGAAACAATAGTGTATTGTTGGCAGGATGTCCATCTGGCAGTCAGTGTGTAATCTTAGGGAGCTGTCAACAATGCATTCAGCAAGCCAATGCATGGACATCTGTGACCTTGAGAGGTTGACTAGTACATGCAAAATAGTTTTTTTTTTCAGAGAAAACCAACTGATCTTTTGAAGGGAAATATGGGAAGGTGGTGGTGTCATCAAACATACATTTTGAAAAAATTAAATGTTTTGTATTTATTTTGGTAATTTCTGAGTATACCTGCATGGAATTGGAAGACTAATGTACCTGGTATATGTTAAACAGCCTAGAATCATGCACTTTTATTGTGACTATACACCACCAACCACAAATATGCATATATTATGCAGCATTTGTTTTCAGACAATTTATTTTTGGCAAAACTATCGAGTGATAACCAAATATGGTATTTAATATTTCACTGACATTTAATCAAAACAGACCTGAATAGAAAATTTTCAGGTTTGCAAAAAAAGTCCATACCATTTGTACTCTAAAAGTAGTGGAACTGGTTACAAAGATGGTATTTGGGCCAATCCTGACAATAGGTTATTAAATGCAGACTTGCCCCTTGGGGGCCCCCCAACAATGCCTCTGATTACTAGGCTAGTACACCTCTAAGTGTGAATTGTCGTCAGCTTTTAGTATCAGGAGACTAAAGTCAGATTTAGGAAGAAAAGAAAACTTTTGTAGCAATGACAGCTTTATTAAAGAAAGCATGTGTATCTGAGATTAGGTAGAAGAAAAAGAGAGCATTAGAGGATATTTACATCTCTCTCGGTGTGCAGCTTGCCGTGAAATGTTTAAATATCTTTGTTGAGAGTCTTTTGAGTAAAAGAGTGGGCCTGTTAATCTTGACTGAGGGAAGATTGCGCCAAGCATTGTGTTCAAACACTGTGTTTATTGGACGTTTATTTAAAAAATACTCAACTATCCATGGAATGTGGACTTAATATAACCTAGTGTACACCCCAGATAGAAGTTTCTCTATCAAATGGACATTTCATAAATAAGGAATTATAAGTATACCTTATACTTATAGCAGGTGTTGTAAAAATTTTCAAAGACATTTGTGGAACCTGCCCATTTATGATATGCATGATTATGGTTCCACAGGACAGTGACTTTTATTATTTGCTGTTAATTTAATTGTGATCTGGTCTAATTGGATTTAGAGCAGCCAGGTTTCCCCAACGCTTCACCTTCTTTACCTGCACATCTATCTATTATTTATCTGGCTGAATGTGAAGTGTCTTGTCTGGAGTTAAACATTTATATATAGATCACTGGGGAGAGATATATTTGGCTGTACCTCTGACGTTTACTCTGTATTTACCACGGGAAATATGCTGAGCTCCAAAGCTTCTTTGTGTCAAAACTGGAAACATGATTTTACTCTGGGAATATAAAACTTTATTTTGGGAGTCTTAATTAACTTGTGAATTATTTTCCTGGATCCAAAATGTCATCTCTCTCTGAGGTATGTACCTTAATACTTAGGAATAGACTGTAGTATTTACAATTGAAGAATTAGAGACTGAAAGATGGAATAATTATGGGACATAATTAAATTCATATCATTATGAAAGGAATGTCTGAGAAATGCTATTCATAAAAAGTGTCAAATCAGGGATAATTTACCAATTAATATGAATTAGGGCCAAAGTAACCTTTGCCTAGGTGTATTACTGAATGTGTTTACTCTCTCATACCAATCATTCCTGACTGTGTTGTCCTTGGATATCCTGCTGATAAATTGACAAAATGATAAAACATGGGATCATAGCAATGACAGGGCAGTCGCAGAATCTCAGGGGATTGTGACTGATGTCATTGGGGGGATACCCTGTATCTGACAGTTTACACTGTCATTAATTATTCACTACACTGATGAGGTAATGATTGTGTAACTGTTTAATACAAAGGCACATATCTAATGTCACAACAATATGGTAATTTTTCTTATCAGTCCATTGTCTAAACACTGGAAGACTGCACGTGGAAATGTAAAATAGCAGAGTTATTTCCCTTTATAGGGAGCTAAATTTTTATTGATATTATTATTTTTTTTTTATTGATTAATCAAATTCAAAGACTTAAAATTTCATATTAAACTCAACTTACTCTTTAGCTGAGTAATTGTGATTTACATCATTGCATGACAAGAAATATTATACAGCCATCAAATGTTGAAACCAAGCATGGGACTATGAAGTAACCAGATCAAGTCTCCTAAAATACCATTAAAAATCAATTTTGTAATGGTGATCTGGTATCAGCTTGTAAAAATTATTTTTGTTGCCATTAAAATACATTGATTGTTCTTTTGAGATTTTCAACACTACAACTAATCCATACAACAACCTTTGGTAAATAAAATATTAACAAATAATGCAAAGTTCATATATTGATTATTAACACATGCTGTGCATGTACAGTTAGATATTTTTATGTAAATTTCTTTATGTTTTGATCAGATATCTCTGCATGTTCTCCATAAAATTTTGTCTTTTCTTTAAATTTTTTTGATTCTGTTTCTTAATCATCCAGGGAAAATAATGTTTTGTCTTAAAAGAGTTAAGAGTCATAAAGTCAGATTCCTCGTACCCATCCTTTGTATTAAAATAGTCAGTGATTGGCATTCTATCTGTGTTACGAATCAGGAAAAAAACAAAACAGATACTTTAACAGTGACTTGGTAGTAGCAGGTAAGTCTATGACCTCCTTAACTGATATGGTTAATACTCAATCCAGTTCTTCACATTCACCTTTTTACACCAAGTTTTTAGAAGAAAATCGGAGAAGGAATGTGCAATTTGATATTTTCTGTTTACCTGATGCCAGCTCACGAAGTTTAGAAGTTGCATAACCTGTTTGCTTCAGATTGAGTATATGCAAGAAATTAACATATGGAATTTGACATCACATTTCTTGGGGTTATATTAAATAAGTGCTTGTTATACGGGACCCTTAACAATGTGCTTGAAGATGAAGGGTATACATGTAACTTTTCATGCCAGAAATAAAACTGTTTTAGATTTCACTACATAATTGTTAGTCTTCAACATTTTAAGTACCATAGAAAGTTGATTTTTAGATAGAGAGAAATGCTTCTTGCTGTCACATATGATGTTAATTTAAATTCAGATTTTAAATATATATATATATTTACAAGATCATGTTCCCTTTTCAGACATTACTGGCAAAGGCTTTATATGACAACTTAGCAGAGACCCCTGATGAGCTGGCCTTCAAACGTGGGGATGTCCTGACCGTGCTAGAACAGGACTTCAATGGATTGGAGGGGTGGTGGTTCTGTTCCCTCCGGGGTAAACAGGGGATCGCTCCAGGAAACAGGCTCAAAATGTTGTCAGGGATGACTGAAAATGGACATCCAGAAAACCTGTACCAAACGCCACCATCGTCCAACAAGAATTGGCATCGCAGGAGTTGGGATGTCAGTCATAATCAGGTACGACTGGGGGTTGTGTCATGTAGTTCATTACCACGACATGAATGTACTTTGTTTGGAAAGAATAATATAACTATACTGAGCAAAATAAGTTTAGCAATTGTTTTACCATAGGTATAATTTTAAAAATATCTTTCAAAATTCTTTTATTTTGTTCCTCCTTAAAATCAATATAGAAAAAGGTAACAAAACACACACTTCTTTTTTTAACTAGACGCGCAGAAACCGCGTTGTCCAACGTTGTGACAATTGAACAATACAAAATGTTACGCTCGAATGCACATGGTCCTTGAAGAATTTTTTACTGGAAAAGCCCTTCGAGCACGCTTATAAAAGAAAACCGGTGAAAAATTTCAAAAACGTCAAATTGGGAAACATCCAGGACTTTTCAAAAATGAACGTCGAACGACTATAGAGATGCGAACGCCGGTTGCTCACAAAGAAATGTCGCTGAACACTTTCTTGTGCATCCGTTCACCATATGTTGACTTTTAAACCGATCCCGGACCACTTGACATGTTAGTAATTGTCGGTGCTCAGAACGTCCACGAAAAACGACGATTAGGCAAGATCGTTTTACTGTTACAACGTCGAGACGTAACCGTTTCATGACTGCCTCTAAAGTTGCACACGAATTATGCCGTGCAATTGGACTGAGGATATGTGGACAATGTGTAAAAAACCAGCTAGGTTTAGCAAATCCTCGAGCTCAAAAATCTCTCACAGCAGTACCACTAACTCAACGTCATCGACAGCCCCGCCTCACATGGACAATGCCCACACAACACACAAGCTGTCCTTCATCAGAATTATGTCAAGATCTTTGATTGGCCCGCGAGATCGCCAGGTTTGTCACCCATTGAACATTTGAGACATTCTTGGTCGTCGTTTAAGACAGCAACATAACGTCAACAACGTAGCAGAGCTGACCCTTGCCCTGCAACAGGAGTGGAACCAGATCACCATGCTTGAGATACAGAACCTTATAAGGAGCATGAGACGCCGTTGTGTTGTTGTCATTGCTGCAATTGGAGGCCTTACACAATATTAAAATTGAATCTGACTTTTCAAACCCGTATCTGTGATCAGTTTCACGATAATTCTTACAAAACAGCACACAATTGTCGATAAAATTTACCTTATTTTGTTATGTGATAACAAGCTCATATCACAATTTAATTGTAAGTGCTGTGTCTATTATTTCACTTTATTTTATAATAAATATCTTAAATTGCTAAACTTATTTTGCTCAGTATATTTGGCATTTGTTCTAGGGTACTTTTAGCAGATCCTTTCAAATTGCAGAAGAATTGTATCTGTGTTTTTACAGTTGTACTGGTCAGAGATAATCTTCTTGCTTGAGATTATAGGTAACCTTATCGGTAACCTTTTATAGTAATCTAAAATCTCATTGCTTGTTTACTGATCAGTACTACTTAAACAGTTAATCAAGGTCCATACCAGATTATTTAATGCTTAAATGCCAATTGATTAAAGCCAAAATAAACTCAGATTATTCCAAAAGGTTAACTGTAATCAGTTACATAAACATAATTTAGAACTGTTTTAGTGCAACTGCATGCAGTCAAAATTTCTATCATTCTGGAAGCATGTCAATTAAGGTGCCATATTATGAAGTATTTTGGCAATCCCAGATTTTCATTTCTTGTATAATAACTTGGACTTTATTCGAGAAATAATTATCATGCTTTTAATGGAGAGAACAGGATATGTTGCATATTCTTAGTAAAGTGAAATTTATGCTAACTTTTCAAAGATATAAGAATTTACAGTTATCTTAGAACTAATGCTATGGCACACAATAGCTACAGATTCTCAAAAATATATCTCCCCAGGGGACTGAGTGGTTTCATTTCGAAAAAATAATTCTGATGATGTAAAAAAGCACTTTTGAGTTTAATTTCGTCTTGGCTAATAGCATCAAAGCAATTTTTGATGAAAATGACAGGATAACTGCATCCTGGATATGCTGCTCTGTACCGTCTGCTAGATTGAGAACTGTGAAAACAAATTGCTGATTTTGTGAAAAATCGTCTTGATTGAGAATCACTTGACTGTTAATGTTTTAAGACAACTTTCTCTGCTTGATTAAATCCATTCAGAGGGTTTTTGTTAAGAATTATGGAGTTTTCAGCCTTTTTTATTTAATTTTCTGACGTCTGATTAGGGAGGTGTCATTATTTGTAACAGAGAACAGGGTATAGGGTTATATCTGATTTAGTTGATAGGATTTTGAGGAAATGATCTATGTTAGACTTTTAATTCCTCCTTTTGTAAGTAGGAGATTAGGATGAAGTCAGATCTGGATATCATGGTTAGTCAATTTAGTGACAATGAATTTATCAGGAAAACTGAACAGTATGCTTCAATTCATTTATGTAATAGCTAGACCACACAAACAAATTAACAATTCCTCATTCTGGCAGACCATCATTTGCTAGGGTGACACTAATCAGTGTCCCGAATTTGAATTAATTTCTTTATATTTTGAATTAATCTATGTGTTGAAGACAATGAATATTTAATGTGTCTGATACACAGTACATAAATCACAAACATTTTTTGGCATTTTGATTGCAATGTGGTATGGAATTGATTATGATTACTAATGTTAGAAGGTGTTAAGTTTTACACAGGGATTGGCAAAACATCAGCTGTAGTCTTGTTATATACTGTTATTACAAAACACAGTGGTTTGTGGTATTAGTATATGTTTTCAATGACATGCAGAGAGATTATATTTGCCAAAATCAGGTTTGTGAGAGAAATCTCATGAACTAAAAATATCATTTGTACCATTCAAGTATTAAAAGCAAAGGTAAAAAAAAAATGACATCAAGGATTAACTGAGAAGAAGAAAGATTTTTAAATGAAAATAAGCTTTTACATGATTTTTGCCATGCGATAAGTAGAAGTATACTGTCCAACTGTTGTACTTGATCCATCAATTATCATTGCAGGTTTCTTTAAAAAACAAGTTTTGACTGCAGTTGTATAGTGATATTGTTAACAGTTATAGATGTGACACCGAGTTTCTTGGTGGAAGCTCTTTGTAAATGTCTTAAGTGTAGATATAAATCCACCTGAGTTGACCTGAAAAATCATTCATCTTCTGTTGACAAAACTTGACCCACTTCCCTCAAACTGATTCTTAAAAATCGGCTAGTCCAACAAGGACCTTAGCTGTTCTTAAATCCCTTAATACCAATGATAAAGGCTTCTTTGTATTTACTACAGACATACTTACTATATGTCATACTTAAATTACCCTATTAAAAATATACATCAAAACTGCTGACAGCATTAATTGAAAATTTCATTTCTAAAAAGACATTTTCATGCAGATCGAGACAAAAACTTGCATGTGTTTGTAATTCATATAAAAACGTAAGTGTTCTCAAAATACATATCACATATGAAGATTGAGAGAGATAGGTCAGTATAATCCACAATTGAGACTGACAAGAAATATATCAAGAAATCTGATCGTGCCCCAAAAAATACATCAGAATATCAAAATTGCATGAAATGAATTCAGCACATGGTAGTGATTACATGGACAGACAGCATGAAACATTCCTCCATTCCACTAACAAAATATTTTTACCCTAGCTGACACCATGTTATCTTTATATAAAGAGGACATAGGGATTGCTTATAAACAAACTAGCTGTTATATTATTTGACTTAGAGACCTGATTGACATTTCCACTTTGTCATTAAACAAAGAGATTTAAATATTGGAATAGAGACATATTTTAAAAGCATCTGTCTGGCATGAGAAACGATTTTTAAAAATCTTGAAAAGGTGTAAATGAAAAGTTGTTGTATTGCAGTGTATGTTTATCTATTCAGTCCACCCGTTAGTCATACAGCATACCTGCAGGGCTGGGTTATGCAGATGTAAATGGTCAGGGTATTAAGGTTGGTCTAGTACAGATAAATGTATGCAAATCTGTGTATTGCATTTGTTTGATGAGGTACAGAAATCTCAGGTGTGTAATAAAGGAGTAATTGTGAGTCACATGACCTCTGTACTCCCACACGAACACTGTCCTATTATCCATGCAGCCTCTTATTCTTTAACAGGTACTCTGTATATCCATCCCCAACAGGTGCTTGACTCAGCCTCCATTCCAGTAAATGTCTTTCACCATGTTTATTTACATCTACAATAAATTCTTGGCATAAATGTTTATAGTTTAGCTTAGGTGGCATAGGATCATTGATAATTTGTGTATTGGGTAGATAAATTAATTTCTACATCTGTTATACTAGCACTCAGAGCAGAAGGATATTGGTGAATTTGATAGAATTGGTGTGGTAACTTTTCTCATCATTTCTATCCTAGTTATATCGTCCGTACTGGATTTTAATGTGAAGATGAGTTATACCATAATCATTTCATCAGTCAAATTTAATTTATTCAGACTTCGTTATTTCTGGTAAAGGAATGAGGGAAATTTGCTTTAATTTATATCTCTTAATTCTCAGAAAAATTGGTGTGACTGGCCATTTGTGCTTTATTAAAATGAAGTTCCAGTTTATTGTTAAATCACTTTTCTCATATGTGCAAAAATTGATGGTAATTTTATTGGTAATTTTATGGAAGGATCTGTTAATTTCATTGTTATAGTAGAGAAAAGCAACAGTTGTAACTAGGTGGATGACTGATGTTATAATTATAATAACTGATGATTTATATGATGTTATAGCAGTAACTGACAACTTGTAATCACAGACTGGCTTGTCACAGTTTCAATCAACTTCAATAATTGATTGAGCTTTCAATATCTTACAAACCACCCAGCCGATCTGGGGAGAATCTAGCTCATTGGAAAGTCCCGAGGGATACTATGATAGAATTGTCTAATCTTGTTATTTTTTATGGAGGATTTACTCAATAGTATTATCAGCATCAGTTGCCCCAGTAAATGGTTGTGTTTTGGAGGTCATTACTAGTTTGGGATGACTAAACC